CAAGCTTTAGAAGCCAAGCCCTTCATCGGGAAAGCTTTGGCTTCCAAAGCCACAGGACTCCGAAACCGCAGATTTAGACGGCTTCAGAAACCATGCTTTCCTTAATAAAATTCCTTAGTCCCGGAGCCAAAAATCAATCCATCCTGATGGAGTACTAACAAAGGCCGCTCTTCTTAATTATAAACCCCCCTCAATTATAAACCCCACCCGGGCCGGGCCTTTTGGTGGTGCCTTTAGAGGCCTGGAAAAGGACAGCTAGCTTTAGAAGCCAAGCCCTGCATTGGGAAAGCTTTGGCTTCCAAAGCCACGAGACTCCGAAACCGCAGATTTAGAGGGCCTCAGAAACCATGCTTTCCTTAATAAAATTCCTTAGTCCCGGAGCCAAAAATCAATCCATCCTGATGGAGTACTAACAAAGGCCGCTCTTCTTAATTATAAACCCCCCTCAATTGCAAACCCCTCCCGGGCCGGGCCTTTTGGTGGTGCCTTTAAAGGCCTCATAGAACCTTTAAGGAACCCTTTGAAGGAACCCCAAAACCCTATTCTAAGTATTAAGGCCGTTAGACCTTATATTAAGTAGACCCACACCACCGAAAGCAGCTCCCTAAACCCTAAACCCTAAACCCTAAACCCTAAACCCTAGACTTTGACCATGAACCTACCAGAGTCCTAGCCCTCATGAGATTTATTGAGGGGCTACAGAGCTTCGGGCTCAGGGGTTTATATAGGGTTTAAGTTTCATCTTAAGTTTAGGGTTTAAGTTTAGGGTTTAGGGTATAGGGTTTAAGTTTCATCTTAAGCTTAGGGTTTAAGTTTAGGGTTTAGGGTATAGGGTTTAGGGTTTAGGGTCTAAGTTTCATCTTAAGTTTAGGGTTTAAGTTTCATCTTAAGTTTGGGGTTTAAGGTTCGGCTACAATCGGGCTAGATCTGAGAAACCCCAAGACTCGAAGTAACTTGCTATCTAACATGTTCAACACCTTTTAAGGGTGTAGGGTGTAGGGTTATAGACTGACCTCTTATAGCTACGATGGGGTTTAGCTAGACACGAATGTGTCGTTCCTGGCTTAAGCGCTAAAGTTAGCTGTAAGTATTCAGTTTCAATCGATTGTACGACCTCAAAACGTCCATTGTCTACGCTCGTCTTCTTCTTGTTCAGCTCGTCGCCGAATTTGGTCGCAAGCTCACCTAGCTTTCTGAACCGAAACAAGCACTTTGGCGGCGGCTGCGTCTTTGTTCTGACGTAATGTAGGGGCCTTCATAATTGCCTAGACTATGTTTGGGCTTCCTTCCTGATAATAATTACAGTATCATATACCCCAAAACCCTATTCTAATTATGATCTCGAAGGCTCCTATATGGGTAGTTCTCTAAAACACGGTCCCTTTTTGGGTCCCCAATGTAGTACGGCACCCTTATAAAAAGGACCCCAGAAGGGATCTTAATTTAGAACACTACCCATATTAGGTTGTGACCTATGGTCTGCAACGTGAAAGAGTCCCTGGGAAGCTCCGTCTTGAACAGTAACTTTCTGTGCACGTTCCCGCCCTTCTCGCCAGCTGCCAGCTGGCTGGCAGCCCATACCCATAGGCCCCGTAGTAGTTCCTTTTGGGGATTCCCTACTAGGATGCCTATGGGAAGCTCCAAGTACCCACTAATTAACCTGAGGTCTGGACCCTATCATTCAGGCTCATATCAACTCCAAAGCCGTAGACACCAAGGCCCTAAACCCCGTTTAAGCCTCGTCAAAGTCCCTGTGGAAATCCGGAATGCCTACAGACACCCCAACCCTCTAAAACCGAAGCTACTGCATGCGGGTAGTTTTCTGCATTAGGGTCGCTTCTTAGGCAGCTACCCATTAACCCTCTATCTGTAAGCACTAAACACTAAGCCCTAATTGACACCTCTAAACCCGAAACCTTCAGCGACTATACTTACTTCTCAACTAGGCCACAGAACTGAAAGATCAAACTTTCCGATTCAAGTAAACTGCAATAAGAACCCGAAAAGCTTAGAGGTTGGGTATTGGGGATCTTAGTCTATACCCTAAACCCTAAACCCTAAACCCTATTTTTGATGTAGGTACCGGCCTTCAGGTTATCTGGAAGCTCTGATCGTCCCGCGTAGCCGGGGTTCATGGTGATGAAAACCTCAGAGAAGCGCCAATAACGTTGAGGGTGTAGGGTAGGGTTTAGGGTTAGGGTTTAGGGTTTAGGGTTTAGGGTTTAGGGTTTAGGGTTTAGGAATAATGTTTAGGGTGTAGGGTTTAGATACGCCTGAGTACTTCTGATTCTAGGGCTCGGGGTTAAAACCCTAATGTGTGGTCCGAATTAGTGTGGG